AATCAATAAAGTTATAGAAGGAAGCTTGGAAACGATATCTGAGCTTGATGTGACTAGAATCCTAAAGATCCACACTGTCCTAGAATATTATTTGCTGTTTCATTTAATAAGATAGTTGCCTAATTTTTTCTTTCCTAAATTGCATCCAATGAGCGAAACACGTTTTTCTGAATTCGTCCATTTCAGATATACTGTGCATTTTAAGGTGTTAAAACTTACACCTTACACAAAAAGAGTTTTTTCCTATTTCCTCTTTAATGAAAGACATCATATTGGTAAACAAACATAAACTATAAAGCCCCGGACAAAAGCCAAGTAAAACTTTTAATTTATGTTGTTTTAATATGAACAGGTAAATACGACATTACCTTTTATAGCCAATACTGACATTTCCAAAGGCCCAAATTTCTTACTTAGTGTTTTGTTTATTATTGACCTGCCCATAATATCGCTTAGTTTATTTCTACCTCATAATCCATACACACAGTTTTTTTCTCCAGAAACTCAATTGTAAGTATGCAGGTACGTTCCATAAACTAATGAAAGTTTTCTCATAGCTTTCTTGCCTTCATGACAATAGTAGGATCATAGTACAAAGGAACAGAGATCTAAACCAAGATAATTTGCCAAGAAGAAGGTTAAAAGCATATTCAGAAAGCTGTCTCTGAATTATTGGCAACTTATAATCCTGGAACAAGGAGCTAGACGGGGTTTGATTCACTATTTTTGTGTTTTCTGACCTACTTCTGCTCTCCTCCAGTTCTCTAAACCTGTTAATGCAGATATAATTCATTCAAACTTTTACTTTCAGGAATTAACTAAGTATCTACTATGTATCACACATCATTAGAGAGACTGGAAAAAATGGTATACAAAAAAGGATCAGAACCTGTCCCCGTTGCCACAGGTGACATATTTTTTTTCTGAGTGAGAAGAAACCCTCCCTATCTTCCACTCCCACTCTCCCTACCACCAGTACCACTAGAGAAGGCCTCTTTGCCTCAGAGTGTCTGGGCTCCACATTAAGACATAAAGGACATATAAATAAAACTATCTGTGAGGACTGCATATTGCACAAACCTTTACTGAATCCTCTTAGCACTAGGCTCCACGCTAGACCTAATGACATAACCTAAATCAAGACCTGGCTTACGTCGTCAAGAATCTCACTGAGAAGTCACTACATTTCAAAATATAAAGGAAAGGAAAAATAGAACATAATTTTCCAGGTCACGACTTTGACATGACTTTCACATTTCACATAGAAGTAAGTGAAGGGTATTTGTTCACTCTTAATGGGTGGTCAACACTCAAGCTGCACTATGGTTACACTAATGATTTCTCTGGCATCGAAAATCTCCATTGTTGAGTAAAGTGGCTATATTTTACTGTTTAGTAAAGACTCTATCCTGTAAACCATTAGACTGACAGGCTGAAGAGAATTCATTTTCATTGTTAAAAGAGTTCCTTCATGATTTTACGCCCTCTAACAGAAACTGAACTTTAAGGATTTGGAAACAGTGGTTCCTAAACATGACTGCGGATTGGAATCACCTGGAGTAGTTTAAAAACAATAGTGGCTACATGCCATCCCTAGAGATACTGACTTAATTGCTCTGGGTGTGGCTGTGGCATCAGGATTTGAAAGCTCCCAGGAGACTCTAATGTGTAGACAACATGGAGAATCACTGTTATAAGGTGTTGGGTTTAACTTTATTAGTCATTCTAAACACTTAGAGTTATGAATTTTTCCTGGTCTAATTTCTTCTGTCTTGTAGTCTTATGATGAGACAGCAAACTGCTGATGAGGAGGAACGCCCAAAGAAAGGAACTTCTGACCTCTGGTATGGAATTTATTTTTGTGCATAAAAGAAGATATTTCTGAAGACGAAGTTATTATGAACCTCTAATGTTTAAGACAGGCTGCTTCATGTCTTTGTTCTATCCCTCAAATATGGCCAACACTGTGTGTGTGTGTGTGTGTGTGTGTGTGTGTGTGTGTGTGTAAGAGAGAGACACAGAAAGACAGACAGAGAAATCAAATTAGAGAACAAGAGAGATCTGGAAATTGAGAAATGGAGAAGACTCTGAAAATAGTCTTCCACCCCTGTCACCACTACAGACAGCTTAGGATTTTAAGTGCACTGGGCATTTGGAGACAATTTGGCAAACTGGGGCCAAACTGTGTCAATATATCATTCATAATGACTCTGCATAGTTACAGACACTGCTAAGGATTTGGAGGTGAATAACAAAACAAACTCTAGCAAAAGTGCTTTCTCTCAGAGGCTTGGAGAATCTTGGTTAAGTGCAATAACCTCTTCCTTGGCACTCCAATTGAACTCCCCTCTCAGTCCAGTTTATAACCATGATAAAACCGTGATCCCTGTTTGCAGAATGATTAATGCCCACAATGGGTTTAAAGCCAATTTTCTAAGCTAATTCAAGATAATATTTTTATTTCAAAACTGGCTTCTTCTATGGGTTGTTTGTGCCTCTTTTATGGCACACATTAGGGTGTGCCTAGTGTAATATTTATGTAGTTGGCTTATCCTGCTGACTGAAACAGGTGGTCACTGAGGACAGGATTCATGCCATACTTCTCTTTGTACCTATGATGCAGCACACCACATTGTACAAGGTAGGCTCTCTAAAATATTTGCCATTTTTTTGAGACTTTTAAGAAAATTGAACAATGTAGTTTATGGAATCTCTCCAAAGTAGGATAAATGAGTAGGTAGTAAAGGAGTGAGAGACAGATGGACACAACATTCTTTATAAAAGCCTGAAAGCTTTTTCTTATATTGACCCATAATTTGCCAACAATCAATTCTAACGAGATTTTCCAGCTTCCACTTTACTGTGAGCATAATGTATGCTGTTGGAACTTAATATAGATACTTACATACCTTGAAAAATGTCCATGCTATTAATGGACTGCAGCAAATTTATCTTTGGTTATTAAAATTCTAGTAATTTTTTTTACCCAGAAGCAATTTTAGAAAACGTTTTAAAATTCTGCCTTAGTATCAAATATTTATTGTAAAATTTGTAAACCAAAATGGTTATTGCTTTAACCGTAATTTCATCTCAGTGTATATGGCACTAAATTTCATTTGTAAAGCACAAATAAATGATGCATCTTAATTTTAGGCGACCTTTAACTCAGTTCCTGCTACATATTCCATCAGCATGTGGGCTCTGAGGCTTTCACCATTATGTGAATAAGTCCAGGCTAAGCTTAATAATCTTTTTCTTAATTCAATTAAAAAAGAAAAAACCTAAGAAGGAATGTGAGGAAAACATACGCAAGGTGATAAACTGCTAGATAAATAAATTTTATACTTTAAATTTCTAATGTAATATCTGAAAAGCCTATAAATAACTGTAAGTATAGAGAAGTATCAAGTACATATCAAAAAGTAGAAATATATGAGATGAAATAAACCAGTGCAGATTATTATAAAATATTCCATAAAGACAAACTGTTGAAAATAGGTACCTTATAAAAGGGACATAGATTTACAGACATAATAAAAAGAGAAATAGTCATTTCCCTTCACCTGAAATCAGAGTATCTTATTATTCTGTAGCAAATCGATACATGCAGCTTTTTCCTTCAGTAAAATAGAGCCTACTGTGTAGTAGGTAGCATGTCAGTCTCACAGAGCTTACTGAATGTCCTTTTCCTCCTGTAATAGAAAATTGCTTACATCACTGCAATTAACTGAATAACCAATGTATGACTAGCATAAAGATCTACATTTGATATCAGAATGAAAAATACACTTCCTAGAACATATACGTTGTCAGTTCCCCCTGAAAAAATATGCATAATTAGATTTTCACACAAAGGTTTTAAAACCCCAGTAATATCAGCAGGTTTTGAGTACTAATTGAAAATGGAATTGATGCAATTACATTGAACAGTGGCAGGAAGCATGGCTTTTAAGAGAATCAGCTTAAAGAAAAAAATCCTAGTTGCATGTGCATTAAAGCTCTAAGCTAAAGATCTCTCTGTGCCAGCTAAACCCCTACCCAGCTCCGGAAAGTAACTTTCTGAAGACATGCCAAGCCCTTCGCTTGAAAATAACATCTTAATTGGTTTCTTCTAATAAAATTCAAAATGCTCTTTTGGTGATGATAATACACTCATTGTTTTATTCCAGCTTAATGTTCTCTCTTGGAATGTTCTGAGTATTACTGTTCAGAGAAAAGAAAAAAATACACAAGTCTGAATTTATGGAGAGACAATTTGGCTGGATGGACCAACAAAAGTTGAAAGCTTTTGATGCCAGAAAGACTGCTTCAAAAAGTAATGATTCTATTCAAACAGATTTGTAGATAATAGCAATGAGATTCCAACCTCTTCCTATTGTCTGTATCATTGTTATATAATAACATTTAGGTGTGAATACAGAACTGGGTTGATAATGTTTAGAGAATGATTAAGGTTCTTATTGACAACTGACACAAAATAAATTATTCAATAAGTCTTTTCAAATCAAGAGATAATTTAAGTCATGAAGTCTTATTTTTGCTTGAATTATGACAAGTAGTATATATTTAAGAGGTTGGAAAAGTTATAAAAAGAGCTTCAAGATATTCATATTATTGTATCTTCTGCATGCCTGGTCATCATCTTAAGGTTCTTTATTAAAAGATTTTCAACCCAGTCTATTGAACTATTTGTATACATACAGACATGACTCTAATTCTATAATGAAATTCAGTGAAAACATTATTTTATACAAGTCTATTTTATAATCACTTTACTATTACTTACTTCTTCATTAAAACAGAGGTCCCTATGTTAAGTTCTGTGGAACTGTAACAATCTCTACCATTTAAAAGAAACTAAGGCCATGTATACCACTTCTACCTGACCCAACTAAGCAAGGAAAGGAATACTAGGATGTTCTACTCCCCTTACTCTGCTTCTGATGTTGTTAGTGCTGTCTTAAAATCTTCAGACCTTTGTGTTCATTATAAAATCTCTGTAATGGATGAAATCCCAGCTTGGTGCACTTCACCCAGTTTGTACAAAGTTATGCCCATTTACAAAACAAAAAAGGGAATTTTCTAATCTAAATTTTGTTAAGATTTTAGAAAAGAGATGCTTATAATGAAAGATTATGTTTCATTTGCTATAATTGGAACTCTGTTAAGTCCTTGGTAATTAATGCTAACTATAGTAACACTAGCAACAACTTAGGTTGCAAGACTCCACTGGCTATAAAAGAAGGAAATGTAGTGAACAAATCTGGGTATTTATTTTACAGCGTCTTTACATATTATTTTTCCCATTCATTCTCTTTAAGTTCTTATTATCTGTGGTAAGGATGGATTATCACGTTCTGGCAGGTTGTTGCTCGGCAAGTCATTTTGTTCTCATTATTACTAGCCATCAGAAATGGGAGAGAGGCAAGGCTCAAAGACATAAGCCATCAGAGATTTTTGTCCTGGCCCTCAGCTCACTCACACTATTACTATATAACTAAGTGTTAAAGTAACATTTAAAGTAATAAGGTGTTTGCCAAACTAATTATCTAATTGTTATATGATTATAAATATGCGGTAGTTACAACTTTAAAGAAAGAGAACATATAGACACATTGAAAATGATACCAGGAAGACAACGGCTTCTTTGGTGACTTTTCAGCTTTTGTTATAGGCATGTACAAGAGAACACACACTTAGGAAAGACCAAAATGGTACTGAAATAGAATTGATCTTTACCCATAGAGTATGTGTATATATGTATGTGTGTTTAAAGACTGTGCATTTATCTTTACTCAGATATACACCCCCTCTCCATAATTCATTTATCTTTAGAAAGTGAAAGTCTATACCAAAATATTGGAAGTTTTCCATGAAAAAAATTAACAACTTTTTTTAAGCACTATTACTCCTATAGACACTCAAGGTTTTCTTTTTTCAGGATCAGCAGTCTGACCCTCTTCTTAGAGAAACAGCAATTATCTTCTGCAAACTTAAATTGCTTGGACTCCTTTGTCCTGTCAATTCCATATAGGCTGAATTCTTGACCTTCGCCATTACATTATATATAAGATTAAACATAAGCAATCTTATACTCAAAGTTCGGTAACTGCTTATTTTTTTATAAGAAAATCGTTTCAGTAAAGTAGTAATTTAGGAATTAATTAGGTATAATATTTAATACTTTTACTATCAAGAATCTTAAATACTAGAAAGTGTTAAAGTTGAGAAAGGCAAGAATATGAGGTACATTCACTGACATCTCTTCAAACCATATTTTAAGATTATTTTAATGATTGTTTCCTACTAAGATAATACACAAATGAGCAGAGTAGAATATTCTGTTCTAGGGATTGACAAAGGGGAAAATGGAATCCTGACGGACAGGACACAGCACAGCAAGTGAAATGCTTGACTGCAAGAGCAGTAACTTGGGGGAAGGCAAGACAAGGAAAGTATGCTCATTAACTTATATCAATTAGAAACAAAAACATGACTTTTTGTACTTATGCATTGCCTCCATCTTTTCAAGGAGAATTTAGAGGCATTTCTAATACGATGTTAAATATATCTGAAGCCTGACATATAATAATCCACAAATGATTGTTAAAAATCAGTAGTTAATTAGAAACTTAAGATCTGTTAAAGCTACAGTGTTATGCATACTTTGGAGGAAGCAAATAGCATGAGACAAATTTGCTAATCTTCCTATTAATGGCCTGGCATTTCTGCAGATTTTGTAACATGCATTTGCAGAGTGTCTCTGATTCTCCACACAATTCATTTTCCTCTTCTTATACCATTTCCCTCTTCTAGTCTTATCTCTGCTACCTTCAAGCTCTAGGTCCTTAGTCAAGATATTAAGCCCCTCAGGGCCTCCAGCCCTACCTATTTCCTAGGCATTCTGTAAATAAATGAGATAATGTGGAAATTCTCTGACAAGTGTATGGCACCCTGCAGAAATAACATACTACGAAAGAGGGCTCAAAGGCAGTTAATTTTCACTCGATGAGGACGGAGGGTTGAATGATTGTTTCTGAGCCTGCACCTTGGAAACGTAGAATCTACTTGCCATCTTCTACAGCTCAGCACATTGTTTCAGGGCGAGTGCTGCCCTAAAATAGCACATGGCTCAGCTCTCAGCTCTGCCTTTTATGTGCCCTTCTTGCCAACTCATACTCTGCTTAGAAAATGTCTAGCCTTTCTGTCCCTTGCTTTTAAATTTGTTTTCATTAACAACAGAGGTTCTCAGTAACACATAAATGAAAATGCAGAAGGCAATAGAGTACTGGAATTTGCCCAAAGCTTGAGGCTCTCTTTCTCAATAATTTTCTGACAGTAATGGAACTAAAACTGAAAAGACTGTTTTTTTTACACCTCATTATACAAAGATACTTGGGAATTGGAAAAATTGAGGGTATCTCAATGCTATGGTGAATTGATGCTGCAATGGTATCCGTAAGAAAAGAACGCTTAATTTCTTTTTTCTTTAGAAGAAGGTACAGGCTATATAGAACTTATGGAGACCACCCTGATAAATTTGCATAGTGAGGAGAGCGAATAGTTAAGTTTTTCTATAGTTATCCTTTTTCTGAGCTCACATTTGTTTCCACAAAAGGAGACCTCACCTACATCAACAAAATAAACGTGTTCCAGAGGAGTAATTCCCTCATCCTCACCTTGACAAATCTGACACTGAAGAGGGAATTAGGAATAGTGTAGAGAATGAGTTTGATTTCCTTTATTTTTTGGAAGGCTTGCTATTCTAAGTGAAAAGCAAAAATCCGCTGTGACACCTTTGACATGATAAAGTGAGTTATAGCATGCCTTCCTCAGAAAATGTTCTTTTATTTGTGACTTTTGTGGATCTAAAACTTATTCTAGCAGCATCTCCAGAAATGGCTTGGACTCTGGACTCTGATGACTTGTGTTTTAATTCTGTCCCTTTCTATCCCTGTGACCTCAGGAAAGTTATTTTCTTTGTATCTCCATTTTGTGAGGATAAAAACAGTGCCTAATTCATGATGTTGTTGGAGAATTAAATGAGATAACATGAAACATTCAGAATAGTGCCTGGCACAAAGGCGATATTAATGTTAGTGATTATAATAATGAATACAAATAAATTACCAAATATTTTAGAAACATAGGAGACAAAACAGTGGCATACATCTATGAAGAATGGAAACATGCATATATTTAGTTCTAGGTATATTTTTCTAAATCAAAACTGCAAAGAAAATCTAGGTAACATATACTTTTTAATCCACATATGTGAACAACATATCCACATAGTTGATCAACATGTGAATGGATTTAAAATCATCATCATTTGAGCCCTCTTCATTTGATGGACAATTCAATCATAAATATTCACACATATCTATGGATAATCATGGAATATGACACAGTTTCTTCATGGAATTGCTTTGGCTGTACGACTAACTAAACGGCACATAAGCTCAGTCTCCTAATTTCAGATCACTGAAGCATCCCTTCTTTGTTCCTAATTGCAGGAATCTTGTACCATTAGGAATGGCTTAATATCACAACATCATCTTTTGGCAACAGAATTAAGTTTATCAGATTCTGAGAAAACTCACCTAGAAAAAGAATTACTTGACAGGAAAATATGGGTTCCAAACATTTTTCTAAAAATCATTTAAAAAGAGATCCATAGCATATCACTGTAATACAATTCTGTCCTAATATTTCTCAAGAGGCATTCTTTGCAATACTTAAAACTTCCTTTCTCCAATTCAAGGCTATGAGAGATTTTGTTTTATTTTGACTACTGGAGTCCTATGTCAATATAGGGCAAAAAAAAAAAAAATAATATATATATATATGGCAATTTCTCCTCATCTTCTATTCCCATTGTATTTTATAACAGTTTTAACTTGCTCTTTACATCACAAATTTAGTGCTACTCTACTTTAGTCTCTTTATGGTTTAGGTAATGTCCAACTCACTCTTACATTTATCAATCCTTTCTTGAGTTCAGTGACTCTCACAGAGGAAGAATGCAAAGAACTTCTTATTCACCCAGCATCCCTGCTGAGTTTGGTTTTATTAAAACATGTAGGTGTTATTTAAGATGTTTAACTGACATCTAACTGAGACGACTGGAAGAGAAATTAAAAGAAACTGCAGTAGCACAAGTTTTTCCAAGAACTAAATATTTCAGAAGATTCAATACAACCAGAATGAGCATACTCCAAGATTAATGGTGAAATTAAGAACAATCGGTTTATTTTTATCTCTTGGGCAACCATTAGACAAACTGTTTTCAACAAATGTGCCTTGCAATATTAATGATAGCAGAGTTCATAAAGAGGCCATTTATTATTTTGAGTTTATTGTCCGATAACAATTCATCACCTTTTGGATTTAGCTTACTAGTTCACAGGGGTCCTTTCATTTATTGTTTAATTAACTAAGCTTCCTGTCAAATGAGGCAGATATTAAAAGATGTTTTGTAAAATTCCAGCATCTTTCATTTATATGCTGTCAATGACCTGGAGACTTTGAAAACTTTATTAATAAAAATTTAGTTCTGAAAGATGGCAAAAAGAATCACAAGATAAATAGCTGAAAGAACTTATAATCTTATACAAGCCTGGTCTGTACACTTAATACACTTGTTTTCCAATACAACTCACACTGACATTTTTATGTTTTTAAACCACTGTCATGCACCTGTAAACGTAAATATGAAAGTCAACCTTGGGCTGGAAAATTGGCCATCGTTAGTTATATGTCCAAATAGTAGAAACCTTTACGTATTTTTAATCTTTTAAATGTAATTTTTCTTTTGAGTTTTAGGCAGTTAGTCACAGGCTTAAACGGGGTGTGGAACAGTTTACTAGTAGGAAGTTTTTAATGATCTAGTGAACATAAACAAAGAATTACTAGCAGTCACAAATAATCGACTTTTCTTCCATGCATTTAACTATAAATGCATTTAGTTTTGAACTTTCATAGCTTTATAAAGCACTTTAAAATATTTCCATGAGTACCTTGATAACTCATAAGAATTTTGAGCCAAAAGAAAACCTGAAGTAGAGCCAGAGAGCTGCCTATTCAGTAAAATGATGTTCAGGCTTTTTGAAGC